ACTTCCAGATAAGCTTAACTGTACTGCAATGCCTTAATGATTTCAGCAAGTAGCTTTCTTGAAACATCTGAGCACTTGGAACGAAATTCTTCACTTAAGATAAGGAGTACAGGTAATCTGGCCCAAATAGGCCATCTGCTGTTCCCACAGCCAACAAGAGGCTAATAACCTGCTCAATCCAATCAGATTGTACCAGACACAGGCGAGATAAAGGCAAAGTAATAAAATGAAACAATCTGGAGCTTTGACACATACGAGCAAGAAAGCTGGCTATTTCGCTGCTGGGCTGGGGGCAGGAATGTGCTCTTTGAACCAGCTTTATTTAACAGCGGAGCAGCATGCGCACAGCACGCCCTGAGTCTCCGAGCTGGCCCAGGGACCATTTGGTCCTGGCGTGGGCACGTCAGACACGGGGCCACCGGGTCAGGAAGCTGGCATCCTCACCCCTGGCACAACTTGCTCCCCTCGGGGGCGTAGGCGCTGACACCAGGCTCATGGGGAGCACCAGACAGACAGGGGCCTACCAAACAGCTTGTGACCATAACCAACAGTGGCCGAGAACAATGAATGCAATTATTTACAAGAACACAGTCCAAGTGTCTTTTAGTCTCTCCCTATTACGCCTGTTTACTCCCACTCTTCTTTTGCGGGGCAGCATGGAGGGGCTGTGACCCTGTCGGTACAGTCGTCAGCAGGACTGTTCACAGTGCCCAGGGCTAGTCTGCTATTCATGCTCTATCGCCAGCAGGCCTGATCCGGGTCCAGCTGCAGCCTCTTTCCTACCAACTGCACATTTTGATGAGAGGTCAAGGGAGACACATCAACTTCAGCTGTCAAACGTTGTTCAAGTGTGTAATACTGCATGCAAATAAATACAGTTTTCTTTAGGTACAGTGTTGAGGTAATATGGAAAAGATCTGCCAATGGTTCAAACAAAAATACAGTGTGAATCACTACTTTCATGCACCATTAGGAAGGAATTTCTCTTTCTACTGGTTTTTACTGCTGAGAACCTGGTACACACCAACACGTTTCTGTCAGCACATGGCTGCAAGTGGTAGGGAGGAGCTGAGACAAGAGTGGACAGAGAAGTCTGCCCAAGTACAAATGCTATAAATATAGCCTTATAAAATGGGATCATAAAATACAATTTAATATAATTATTTTTTAAACCAGTACAACCAATGGACACGCCATTGATTGAGACTTATTTGCTATCATTAATGTGTTTTTTTCTATGACTCCCGTCAAAGTTTTAAGCTAGCAATGCAATTGACAGTGAAAAGCTGCAGCTCTCTGATGAACTGTATGTTTTTCCAACATCATAACATACATATATTAAGACTTTGTCCTTCATTTATTTTCTTACTGAGACATTCTCACTGAACATATTTAATTGGTAGCATGATAAAGTCATGTTGGAGAGATGCCAATCTAGCACTGTCGAGTCTCAACTACTGATTTATCCAAGACTTTGTGCTGTATATCTGTGTATGGAACTTTTTTTGACTAATGTTGTTTTAGAAAATTAGTCAGCTCATGATTTCAGAGATTGTTATGTAAATCTAGATTGGAACACACCTCAATTGATGACAGGGAAATGTATTAGATTTGTCTTCAGGCTTACCTCAAAGATTGGTCATTGACAGTCTGGAATCTATACATGTCGAATCTTCTTTTTATCAACTTCAGTAACTTTTAAAAGTTTGTCTGCATATTTTTTCATGGATAATAATGGGAAGAATAAAAAATAAATGTAGGCTTGTGTGGTCTAAGATATAAAACAGGACTAGTGACTTAGAGGGTGATGGATTTGTATAAATCTATCTAAGTTTTGTGGTATCTGAATTGCTCCTTCAATATTATACTCACCCAAGAAAATGCATCTTAAAATGTGCCAAATGTATTATATAACATAGTACATTGTCTGTCAGATCACTATTACTATTGTGACTGAGACCCCATTCGAACAAGATGGCCTCCCCATCCACTCCACACTGAACCAACTCCAGCTGAGCAAACAGCACACACTCCATGAGGAAGCTATGGGAGAATAATAGCGCCCAATACTGTACAGTAAGTGTACATTCACTGTACATGTAAACACAAAAGAACACATGTGCTGTCTTTCATACACTCACGCTTGCACACATACAGTAGATACAGTGAGTTCCATTTTTATTTTCCCCTGTGGCTCTTGGCTGTGGCCCTTTAGGAGTCTCCAGATGAAGAGAGCGTGGAGTGTGGCAGAGGGTCCTTCCATAAACAATAAACAACAGTTATCTTGTGTGCGGCCGTCTGTGTCAAGAGGCAAACGAAGCCAAGCCCAGCATCTGAGAGGCGTCTGCTCCTCTTTCCGCCTTTGGTCTTGTCTCTTTCAATGGCTTATAAAAGTGTGGATGTGTGTGTACGCCCATGAGTGTGTCTGTGTTCACAACGCAGCACAGGGCTCCTCTGTATTGTATTCTGAAGCTGGCTGGAAGTAAAAAGGCAGAATTAAGAGTGGCGGGGGCAAGAGGAAGAGGGCTGCCAGCACACTGCAGAACTGCAGGGAGCTCCCCCAGATCCCAGCTGCCCAGGACTGGCTGAGAGCTTCAGGCGAGTGCCAGGCTTCCTCGGCCCTCATGGAGGTGGGCCAGAGAAAGTGGGAGGTACACGTCAGGAACGAATTGCCAAAAATAATGTCTGGACCTATATAGAGAAGGTCTTGGGAGACACACAATGCTGACATATACAAGAAACTTAATTTGTTGGCAGGTGGGAAACATCAGGTACAATTTTTTGCCATTTTCACAGAGACCAAAACAGAGTTTGCAAATCATAATTGGTTATATAAGGTGTTCATATTTCATAAAGCACTCAACTTCCTGATTAGCCCTATGACATGATCTTCCAGTACTGGTGGCCTGAATGCTTTTCCTTCTCGACAGGGTCTGGCAACACAGTGGAAAACAAAGTTGATCTGGAACTGTTTAATGCATTATTTGTATAACAATCAAGGAAGTGAGTTTATTTTGCAGATAATTACAGCTTTTGTTGCGTCGATGGCCAAGATAAGCCAGGGTTCCGAACCATTAACTGGTTGTGCTTTTTCTGGCAAACACTCAGTTTGTAATGCACAATGCACTGCAAGAGTCCTGGCAGCTGGAAGATCCTAACATTAGAAAGTAGGGCTCCATGAATGGCACAATATCAATCAATCAATAACATCTCCAAATAACTGTGTTTACACTAAGTAGTACTTTAAATCAACCTGAGATACCGCTCACCACAACGGTTCCCACCCTCCTATCTCTTAATCCCCTTACAACATAATAACATGTGTCAAAGAAAATGGACGCCATTAACGACAACAATATTAAAAACATATGTAAAGCCAATGTCTGACCCGACTCCCACCACACACAGCAGGGAGTGATGCTGTCCAAAGCGACTTGTTGAACATGAGAGTTGGGGAACTACTGTACACAGTAATAGTTACAGCTGAGGCAAGAGCGTGTGGAAAACCCCCGGCTGGTCTAGACACTTTTGCCCTCTGAGCTGACCCAGGAACAGGCCGGGGCGCTAATCATGGCACTTGGCAGACAGCAGCATTTTTCCACAGGTCCTCAGAGAAAGCCCTTCCTATACAGAGGCAGGTAATCACAACAGAAGCACATCCCGCCATGGTAGCAGGCCAATGAACGCACGCCTGCTTTGTCCACTCCAGGACCAGTTGGGAGACTATTTCTGTGCTTCTGACAGAAACAAATAACCCCTGTGTCACCCTGCCTGTCAGACTCTCCGCCTGCGAGGGAGCCAATGGGTGTTGTTAGTCATTGTGCGTTGCACCCTGGGGCCAGTGACAGGAAGTGAGCTCTACTATGACAAGGGAGAAACCCATTTAGGCTGTTAACTCAACATTATACAAGGGTGAAAGGATACCCACATATGAGGTCTTTAAAGGTCAGAAATGGGACTGGGTGTAGCATCTTTGGTTTTCGAGATCAGGAAAAAATGTGTTCGTCATGTGGAAATAGTGATATTTTCAGGCTTCTGGAATACTCTTGATACCTCCGGTTTCCTGCCACACACATTTGCAGCATTACCTTCGACCACCAGGGTCTCCAGGTTTGCTTCCTAGGTCAAAGTCATGACGTATCGTAATGCGTTTTCCGGAAACCAATCTAACTTTCCTTTGGACAACTGGACTTTGTCATGACCAGTGGGGGCCATTTGAGTGCATTTTATTACCACAGTGGACACTTTGTTGCACATCTGCACTGGGAATGGATTGATGAGGATGTCATGTATGCTATTGTTGGACATATTGTTCCATTACCATGAGGAGATAGAGGTTGGAAAAATGCTTGTTCCTCTCCATATGTTATGTTCTGAAAACTGACATGTTGGTCGTTGATATTTTTGGTTTAGATATGGAAAAATAAATAGGAGTAAATCAACACTAACACTTGACTTTTACATGAATTGCGTTAAATGCCTCAATGTTACTTTCTAAAATGCAGTGATTTCATTCCACGTGGACGCTAAAGATGTTAGCAAAGCATCATGGAAGTTTTTTATTTCACAATGAAGAGCGGAAAACATTGGATTTTAAAGCAACTGCCAACAGTTCCCACAGTCAAAACAGGAGGTCCCAATTTCAGTGGCCACTAAATAGTTTGGGGACATACATGTGGAGGATTTAGTGACAGATCTCATGCCAGACCACTTTTCCACAAGTCTTGAGTGATCTGAGTGATAAATGTACTTAAGCACAGACTGACGGAAATATCTCATTTCCTCCCAAGCTGGAGCCCAGAGACAAACACAGAGCAGGTATGGAGCTCAGGTGGCGTCTGTATGCAGATTATTTTGTATATCATGTACAAACAATTACATAAATGCAGATGATCTGGTTGAAGTACACACAGCATTTATTTTAACTGACAGGGGACTTAACATTCAACCATCACAAAAAGATCACTTAATTGGTTAAACCATAAAGCCATAAAACTTACATTAAAAGCTTGGGTTGGTAACAGGTGGGCTTAGAGTTTCGCTGGTCATTTACGTCCTGTTTATGATGTCACCCAGGTGTGCCAAGAAAGGGTTTACCCCAAACATGAGGTCCCATGTAGGTCCACAACAGGCTCTCTGGTGCTGCTTCTTTCTGCATCATTCATCTTGTCTTCATAAATACATTTCTGAGTGCAGTTAGATTTCCACATCTGGATGGAGGTCTGTGATAAGAAGAAAACAGAGAGCACATTTAGATTAGATATATTGCTTGGGAAATTCAAGACAGAATTATTGCAGATGATTGTATGCACACAGACATTGCTTCTTCTTTTTAATGCTTCTTTTGGACATGCTTGCAGTACTGTGAGTGTTCATCCTCCTGTTTCTCTCAGCCCTGTGGACTCCCGATGCCCACAGTGATCTAGGCCCTTTGAGCCAGACCCCACCAGGCCTAGCCCACCCTGGCATTGGCACTGGCACAGACAAGCTGACAATTATTATCTACCTCACTGCTCTTGCTAGCAAGCTGACGGGACGGGCAGCATTTGTTTGGCTCGAGTGTACAGTATCTGTCTGCCTGCGTAGGGTCAATGAGTGCATGCTGATCCCCACTACCCAATGTTAATAGACACAATAAGACGCATCTACAATAAATCAAATTCATAAGTAACACTGGGGACCCAAGTCTGGTTACATTTTGTCTAAGAAAGTACTAACTATGATAACTTTTTTTGAGGAAATCAGAAAAGGAACTGTCAAAAAGCAGCATTCGTTTAATTAGAAAGAGACGGAGACGATGTGGCAGACGTTCACTGGAAACCCCACTCTAACTGACAAGGGCTGTGGTGTGAGTCATCCTGGGATTTTTTGATAATGTGGTCTCCTCCAAAACATCCACCTCTCCTCTTATTACTGACTGGTGTCCCCACCATCATTTCCATTGTCCTGGGAAGCAAGCAGAAAGCCTCATGGACTCACCAGTTACTGAGGATGGACCTGCAGGGGATACGTTGCTACTTTTCTGAAATGAACAACAGCCGCCTTCATTTCCACAAGCTCTGGCAACATACTCATGTACCTTTATGACTCAACCGCAAGTGACAAACCGATCTGGGTCTGGTTGGCCCGGAACTTCTTCCTATAAAATGACTCAACTCATGACTTTAAAGAGCCTTCCTCTCCACCCCTGTCAGCTAAGACTAGCCTGTAGCTTTTTTGAAGACCTTTGTGACTCATTGGGGAGAGCGCAGTGCTGAAGATAGGTCAGGAGCAGGCGGTAGGCAATAGAGAGAACAATTAAATGCCGATAATGACAGATATGGCCTGTGACACAGATGGGCCAGGACTGTTTTAGATAGACAACCTCCTCACCAGTCTGAAATTGCAGAGTAGTGCTCTTTAGAAGGAAACATGAACTGAACTGACGCATCAAAGAGAGAAGACTTATGGACTTGCATTATAGACTGCAGATGGTGCAAATTGGTGTTTTGGTGTGGTGATGCATATGACTGTGTACAATAATTCATCCCCTCAGTCAAAAGTGGAAATTATTTTTAAAAGCTATTTATGAAGGAACTGTTGTTTGTCATGTAACACGTAGCGAGTTCTGGTACTTGACAGTTTGGCCCAAATCGTGAATAACTTTTGACTCCTGAACTGGGAACAAGTAAAGCATAAACACATTAGCTGCACATAAACATCTGAATGAATCCAAGTGTTTTTTCTGTTACAAGTAGTCTTTTTAGTGGTTTGGGACTGTGGTGACGAGTGGGTGGCCCAGCTCTGACCCCCATTCATCTCAGTGAGATACAGTAGGCTGAGTTGTGGAGGGACGTTTAAATGCGCCGCATCCCACAAACATGAAACACACAGCACACACACTGCAGAGGTCAACAAACAGCCCAACCACAGTAGCAGGACTGATTTGTTGACCACTTAGACTCCTTCATCTGTGGATACATCCACCTTCACAGTGAATTCTGGGTATGGAAACAGAGAGAAAGCAACAGACAGATGAATTGTAAAGGACCCTCAACTTGTTCCACTTTTTTTCAATAGCTGCAACCCAATAGTTGTTTTGGTTTATTAGACCCAAGGAAAAAAAGACTCCCCTATTTGTACCTGCTTTTTCTGACCATCGCAACAACTTGACAAACAAAATCACACTTCCGATTCACTCTGAAATTGCTTCTGTCTATTCAGTAGCTCAACTTCAGGACAAATAACGAATGAGACAAGAGACAAATTCATTCTACTCTAACCACACTATGTCAACCAGAAAATATGCTGAAAATACGACAACACAAACATAATCTGCAAGCGACAATTCTCACAGATGAAGCACCCCTGATAACCCTTCCTGCCTCCATCTACGATCTTAAATAGCTGAAAACATCAAAGCTTGGAACATTGCTGCATTCTCAAAGTCCAAATGATCACTTGTCTCAGCTTGGACGGGATCCTAGAAGTTTTTGACATCCATGTCAATGAGACAGGCAGACTCATTCACACGAACTCGCTCCTTCCTGGCTCAGCTTTCTTGTTCTCACAAGATCAGATATATTCATAACTAAACAGTGGTCAACAGCAACGACATAAAAAGCTTGTGATTCATAAGCAGTGCCAAAGGGTTTTCCCTCATGCTCTAACGTTCTCTGTGATCACTCAGTTTAAATTTCCAAATGTGTTAGTCCTTCTCTTTCTCTGAATACAAACACTTACAACTATTTTAGTTGTACATGTAAGACACATTCAGTAATTTAGTGGGAATGCTGATACAGCATTCCAACTATCTGTTATGCTACGCACAAAATTCTTTATTATTCCGCCGGGTTATTTTGCACCTCTTCTTCTCCCACATTCCACATCGCAGAAACTCCGTTCAAACGTCAAAACGTTCAGCTCGGTCGGGAATCGATGGCTATTACTTTTCTTATTCATAACTTTCATAATTCCAGAGATACATCCCATAATTCATCACATTTTTAAGATGGAAGTCAATGGAGAAACTCTTCAGACTTGAACAATCTTCATGCAACTTCAACTGCTAACTGCTCCTTCATACTTTCACTCAGAAACCTCATTCCAACTTTAAAATGTTACACATCTTTCACACAACTTTAAAATCTGATTCTTACTTTTAGAGATATTAACCTCTTAAGCCCTGAGCCTGTTTTTCAGGTCTCAGGCTCGAAAATGACATTCCCAGAACAAATGACCATATCTTCCCTTCTAAAAGGGTTAAATTAATAATCTTTATTCTCAATGTAATGATAAACCTGTGAGTTGGATGTAGAAAAGTCAGAATCAATATAGATGTTTTTTATTTTAAAGAAAATTCAGATTTTACATAGTAAAAAACTGTAAATTATAGTGTCCGTCCAAAAATTATTTTTTACTTATAGTGAAAACTACCCTTGGATGATGGGTTAGTAGACTAAAAGCTTTAGGAATCCAAAGTACAACATATAATAAGTACCCTGTATCAAGATTGATGCAAAACAAGTGAAATTTGACCTTTTCAGAGAGATTTAGCCAAAAAAAACCACTTTTGGGGTCATTTGGGTGGATTTTACCTATCTCTGGCCCCCCTTGGTCGATTTTGATGAATCAAATCTCTTTATAACCGCTAGAGCCAATGGAATCGAGGGAAAGTTATATACACACCAAAACGTTAACAAATAAGGAGTGAGAGTGACGCGTTAGCAGCTAACTTTTCCGCTCCGATTTTTACATAAAAATTGAATTATGGATTATAAATAATTTTTTCAAAGGCACAGGTACATTATCAACCTATGGATCAACAGTTGTAGCATTTTCTTATTTCGTTTTAATGCCAGTGAACACGTCTTTTGACCTAATTGACAGCTACGGTGAGACGATCTGCCGTAAATGCTCCGTAAAGGTACGTGTTGTGATGTCTGTGTTTGCTTCCCCTGTCGCAAGTTCGGATCGCTCAGTGATGATACTATACCTAAATAATCTGTGGAGTCTCAGCTTTAATCGGCTATATTGTATGTGCTACGATAAGTAATAAGGGTATCTTTATCTTGAATTGTGTGCCGCAGTGCGTTAGAATTTTTTCGCTCAGGGGTCATTTAGACGCTTCTAATGAGACTTGTGTTTTGTTTTGGTAAAAATGGTTCATATCTTCAGTTAGCTGAGATTCTTCCCGTTAATCTGGTGCTACACATTAATAGTTTCATAAATGTTAAGAAGCCCTGAGACATTGTCTCGATGGGAGGGGTCCAATGGGGGGACCGCCGTGCTTAAGAGGTTAAACATTGTTCAGACAAGGTAAAGAGGCCTTCTTCAGATTTTAGAGTGAGTGATGTCACAGCTAGAGTGGAGGATAGATTTAATTTTGCCTTCATATTTTCTTTTAAACCTGCCATAATTCCCAAACCCTACATTTCTGAGACATCATTTTTCATGAGAAACGTAGGAAAACATCTCGTAGCTTGAAAAATAAAATTAAGCAACATAATCAAACAAAATGCCTCTTGAGGGCATGAAGTGACAAAAACCTTCAACATGTCTCCATTAAACCCCATTGTAAATTCAGCCTCATCTTTCCCCACCACAGCCGCCTTTAGTTAATCTGCCGAAAAGGCCACATTATTAACTCGAAAGTACACAAAAATTACACTTCAGATGCTCAAGTTCCTTGACATGCTTCATGCTTTGAAATCTCACCGATATCTGTTACGGTTCTTCAACAAAACGTTCACATGTAAGAGGTTTATCTCTCATTCAGAACAATGAAAATGCTCTCCTCTCACTGATTACTGCACATCACCATGGAAACCTTTGATCTCTGGACACGTCGTTAGCTCAAATATAAACACCTGTGTCATGGAACACGATGATGTCATAACTCCAACTGACATGCTCAGGGGCCTCATTTATAACGCCTTGCGTAGGATTGACGTAGGAAGGTTGCTTACGTAGTACAAAGCACAAAAATAGGTACATACATTTTCCGCCATTTTCCGATTCACAAAACGTTGCGTACCGGCGAGGGAAGTGCGTACGGCACTCCCTACGCCTGTTTCCCTTGATAAATCACAATCGACTCGTAACGCCCATATTTGCCTATACATAGTCAAAGAAACGCCCATTCATTCATTCATTTTGACTGACTGCATGAAGAAGATCGCAGGAAATTACGATAGAACAGCTAAAAAAGACATCTCACACCGTGTCAGATTTTGGTTATTGT